ATCCAGGGCAGATAAATCCCTCAGGACCAATAATGAGAGTAAACATACCAGGAGGGTAAGGGAAAGGTGTGGGGAGGAAGGGGGAACCAATCACAATGATCTACATATAACCCCCTCCCTGGGGGATGGACAACAGAAAAGTAGGTGAAGTGAGACACTGGTCAGTGTAAGACATGAAAAAATAATAATAATTTATAAATTATCAAGGGTTCATAAGGGAGGGTGGGAAATGAAGAGCTTATACCAAGGGCTCAAGTAGAAAGAAAATGTTTTGAAAATGATGATGGCAGCATATGTACAAATATGCTTGACACAACGGATGTATATATAGATTGTGATAAGAGTTGTATGAGCCCCCAATAAAGTGATTAAAAAAATAAAAATCTTGGCAACATATACCCCACTAGTTAATGATTTCACCTTTCTTAATGTTTTGTTACACTGATATTAAGAAATGATGACACAGTACTGAAGACACAATGGCATCTCATATTTCTATACTCCAAGCACATTTATGGAGAATAAGTCATAGCCTTTCTTGTAGAAACTATGGGAGAAACCAAGCTTAAAGTGGCTGCAGTCCCTACTATCAAAAGATTGCTCTTACAATGTTCTACAGCCTGCTTTGGGGAGTAGCAACTATGATCTTAAAAGTTTGTGACCAGTGATCTAAGATGTAAATACGGGTCTCTCCTTGTGTGGAGGAAAGCATGATGAAAACTGAAGGCACATGGAAACAATTAGCTCAATCAACTAATGGACCACGTGAACATGAGTCGCCGCAACTCTGACACCAGAAGAACTAAATGGTGCTCAAAGTGACATTTTTGCTTTAAACAGGTCTTGGGCAGCAGACTGGCCCACTGCAATACATCATTTGATTTCCTGACTGCTGCTTCCACGAGCATTGGTAGTGGAGCCAAGTCATGCTATCTTATTGGTCCAATCGTGAGGGCTTTGCTTGGTTGAGTTAAAATCCATACTGAAGGCTGCAGTCTTTCATCTTCCTCAGTGAGTAGCACATGTACTCGAGTACGCCAACACATTTTCCGTGCGGCTTTGGTGGTAAAATTGGGTGCCTTAGTGGATCTTTAGGGTGGCTTATCCTTGAGTGTATACAGTATTTCAAGTCTCTGAGCCTTCAGTAAGCAGGCTGTGTCATCTGCATATGACAGTTCGTTAAATAGCCATCTTCCAATCCTGAATTCCCTCTCTTCTTCATATAGTCCAGTTTCTCTTGTTAATTTGCTTAGCATACAAACTGATTAAGTACAGTGAAAGATACAACTCTGATGCATATCACCTTTCTTGGTTTAAATTTCCCCCGTGTCCCATTCAAACAACTTCCTCTTTGTCTATGCAAAGGTTTCACAGGAACGCAATTATGTTCTAGAAGTTCCATTCTTCAAAGCGTTATTTACAGTTTGTTAAGACTCAGTCAAATGTCTTTCAGTCAATAAAACACAAGTAAACAGCTTTCTGGTATTCTCTGCTTTCAGTCAAGATTCATCTGACTTGAGCCATGATATTCGTATTCTACAGCATCTTCTGTATCCAGCTTGAATTTCTAGTAGTTCCCTACTAGTACCCTGATTTCTAAATTATCTTCAGCAAAATTTTATTTGCATCTGATATAAATAATATTGTTGGATAAGTTCCATATTCTGTTAGGTCATTTTTCTCTGGAATGGGTGCAAAGAAGGCCTGCTTCCAGTCAGCTGGCCAGGTAGCTGTTTTCCAAATGTCTTCGTATAAGGAGAGTGAATGTGAGTGCATAAGCAAATGTGGTGAAGAAAGCTGATGGTGCCCAGCTATCAAAAGATATAGTGTCTGGGGTCGAAGGTAAACAAGTGGCCATCTAGCTCAGGAGCAGCAAAGCCCACATGGAAGAAGCACACCAGTCTGTGTGATCATGAGGTGTCGAAGGGATCAGGTATGAGGCATCATCAGAACAAAAAAATCTTACCATAGTGAAGGAGGCAGGGAGTACAGAGTGGAGACCCAAAGCCTGTCTGTAGGCAATTGGACACCCCCTTATGGAAGGGTCTTAGGGAGGAGACGAGCCAGTCAGGGTGCGATGTAGCAACGATGAAACATACAACTTTCCTCTAGTTCCTAAATGCTTCCTCCCCACCAACTACCATGATCCCAATTCTACCTTACAAATCTGGCTAGAGCAGAGGATGTACACTGGTACAGATAGGAACTGGAAACAGGGAATCCAGGGCGGATGATCCCTTCAGGACCAGTGGTGTGAGTGGCGATACTGGGAGCGTAGAGGAAGAGTGGGTTGGAAAGGGAGAACCGATTACATGGATCTACATGTGACCTCCTCCCTGTGGGACAACAGAAAAGTGGGTGAAGGGAGACATCGGACAGGGCAAGATATGACAAAATTAAATTATCAAGGGTTCATTAGGGAGGGGGGAGCGGGGAAGGCGGGGAACAAAAGAGGACCTGATGCCAGGGGCTTAAGTAGAGAGCAAATGTTTTGAGAATGATGAGGGCAATGAATGTACAAATATGCTTTACACAACTGATGTATGTATGGATTGTGATGAGTTGTATGGATCCCCTAATAAAATGATAAAAAAAAAAGAGGACTGAAAAATAGAGCCTTCTTTTTTGAATAAAGTCTCATGGAGGGGCTATCAAATCCCACATTCTCTCCAACAAAAACAGAACCAGGCAGTATTCACAAGTAGCAAAACTGACTGAATAATGCCCCCTCAATCCCTTTGGGCCTCTCAGAGAGGTGCTTCAAACCAAGGGGAAAATCGTAAAAGGCAGTAAGTTGGAAGGAGTGAGCAGAAAGAATATTACAATACAGGAACAGGTAACAGACATTGAAAACATAAAGCTTAGCATTAAAACTACATGTTTTTTTCTCCCTAAATCTCAGATTAGGAAACATGACGATACATGACATGAGTCAAGGTAACAACTGTGGTGTGGGAAAGTTCCAATTCCCAGGGGTGTTCAACACTCGACAGAAACTGCCCTTCCTCAGAGTGCTCTGCTCCCCATTGTCCTGGAGAGGGCGCTGTGCTTACGAACAGGAAGAGCAGAAGTGCAATGAGAGCTGCCCCGCGCCATTACACCACCTCTACTCTGGAAAACACGGCAAGTAACCGGCGGCTCGTAAATGCCTAGCCCTTATTTCTTCAAAACCAGCTAGATTATAGGGAGGGGGGGGGGGGGAGGCAAAATTTATATTTTCCTAAACACACGCACATAAATGATAACTCTAACTTAACACCGTGAAGTTAGGGAAAGATTACTTTTTAATCAGCTGTGAATTCCTACTTTCCATCTCTTCCATTGCTCCCAACACCGCCAGGGCTTGCTGGCTGGTCAGCTCCTCGGACATCAATAAGACGGTTGAAGTAAGTCTAAAAGCAAAGAAAAATACTTATTTACTGAAGACCTGATGATTGATTCACTTGTTAAAAAATAACTTGTTTGGGCAGAAAATAATAATGTAAATAAAAACTAAATCCTGTATGCGATTTCAATTTTCTCATATTGAGATATTTCACAAATAAGATATAAAATTGCTTTCTTCACAGGAATTAAGGGCTCAATGTAACGTAAGATGAAAACGTTTGTTTCCTTTTCTCAGATAAAACGTTTTCATAAAGGACTTAACGCAAAGTTCCAGTATTTATAAAATAGTTATATAACGAAATTATTCAATACTAAAGAACTAAAGAGCAAAGGATTAATATTCTAAAGAATATTCTAAGTTTGAAGATGAAATAAGCACTGAGCTGTAATCCAATGTGCTTATTTTCCCTGCCTACCAGAAATTTGTACAATGAACACAATACATGGGAAATGTAAATAAACAGCCCATTCTGAAACCATCCAAAGTGGTTCAATAATAAAAGGAGTAAACTGGGTCCTTTCAGATAACTGAGGAAACGGGATCAAAACATGAGATCTGAGGCTAGCAGGATAAAATTCTTGTTTCTACTCCTCCCGGATGGCACCACACAAACCTAGCCACCCAGTGTGTTCTTCATCGAAGGCTTCAAACCCAGCTTTGCCCAGGGCTTTTACAGCCCTTGGTCCTCCAATCCGCTCTACCTTCGCTGCCCACAGAGACCCTGGAGAGTTTCCGAGAGCGTCAATCTCGGTGGAAGTAGAGGCAGGTGGCTTCGAACTGCTGACCTGCAGGGAGAAGCCTAATCCACTATGCCCAGGGCTCCTTTTCCGGAGCATACCAATTGCCACGAGCCCAATCCAGCTCCCAGCGACCCCACATAAGTCAGAGGGAAACTGCGGTCCAACGGGTTTTCAAAGGCTGGGATCTCTCAGAAACTGCGGGCTAGGGCTTTCCTGCGTGAACGGGAATCACGCCTGCTTGCCTGCTTACCTGCTCGCACCACCTAGGGACTCCATTAGAATATAACAATTGATTTAAGAGCTGACATGCAAATTAAATCAGAAAGAATCAGGGAGGCGCGCTTAAGAGTTCTGCTCCTTTACACAGTTTGGTGGGGTGATTTTGTGTTTTCTTAAACTTCAAGGAGAACCAACCATAGAGCCATAGAGCCCTAATAAAAAAGTATGTTTAGGCGAACTTACTGTTCTCTTTCTTCAGGTCCTGCCCAGGGTCCCAGCACAACAAATAATTTTACAAAGCTGGCCTGGTCATCACACAGAGGAATCATTTCCGTCAGCTTCTTTTTAGCCATCTGCATAAATTCAAGACTATGAAACTGTAGAGACTGGTACAGCTCATTTATTTTACTGATAGAATCCAAATCAAGGTCGTGCACGTTGCTTAAAAACACTTTATTACACTTTTCTAAGAGCGGCTGATGGTTATATTTAACATTCCGAAGAAACTGTAGTATTCTCCTTGCAATGTTGACCTGGGAAGAATCTAGGGTGTCTATCAGGAGCTCTGTTTTGTTTATTAATCTTTCTTGAAAATGCCGTGAGATTAAAGAAGATGTGCTGACCATCACAACAGACAAGGCCCTAAGAAAAAGAAACATACATTTTCACATTACTGTGGAGTCATCACCAAAAGGGAAATTAAATGATCATCTATAGAGAGGAATTAGCAAAAATAGAACAGGTTCTATAACAGGAAGTTTTTCTAAAAAATACAAGTGGGACCTGAAATTAAATGATGTACAAATTTAGACATTTTAGCCAGAAAGCACTGATATGCAATTTTTTTAAAAAAATCATTTTCTTGTGGGCTCATACAACTCTTATCGCAATCCATACATCCATCCATTGTGTCAAGCATA